CGTTTATTAAGGGAGTAAAAACAAGTTAATAATAAGAATAGTTTTAATGCGAAATTTGAGCTTGATGTTTTTTAATAATTTCATTTATATTTGGTCGTAAAAATGACAGTACTACTCTCTATGAAGACTAGAGATAAAGAGACGAATCGGCATACTCAAAATACGGTCCTAAAAAACGCATGGTAATTGAGCTTCTATAATTAACCGCATGGGAGCTGGTGTTCAAAATACATGGCTTCTTATGGGAATTATACATAATTTTGTCAAAATAATAAAAATAAACTTGTTTATAGCTAAATAAAGCACAAAACATACAGTTGTATTTCTAAATAAGTCTTGCATGGTATCTCTAGAGTTTCTGTTCTGGTCGGGCGTTAGTATCTCTGGGTTCCTGTTCTGGTCGGGCGTTGGTATCTCTAGGTTTCTGTTCTAGTCGGGCATTGGTATCTCTGGGTTTCTATTCTAGTCGAGCGTTGGTATCTCTGGGTTTTTGTTCTGGTCGGGCGTTGGTATCTCTGGGTTTCTGTTCTGATCGGGCGTTGGTATCTCTGGGTTTCTGTTGTGGTCGGGCGTTGGTATCTCTGGGTTTCTGTTATGTCGGGCGTTGGTATCTCTGGGTTTCTGTTCTGGTCGGGCGTTGGTATCTCTGGGTTTCTGTTCTGGTCGGGCGTTGGTATCTCTGGGTTTCTGGTATGAACTTACTTCGAACAGTTACCTGTTCTAAATGGGGTGCAGACCCAAATTTATCACTCATTTTTAAAAGATCTTATATACGCTCGCTCTTAAACTATGGGTGTACTCTATATGGAACTGCTTCAAATACTAATCTGTTGATACTGGACAGAGTCCAGTATAAAGCGATTAGAATTTGCTTAGGTTTAATGAAATCGTCACCATGCCATGCAATTCTAGCAGAAGCACAAGAACCACCCCTAAAACTAAGAAGAAATTATTTAGCTAACAAACAAATCATCAAATATAGATCATATAATACATTACTATCTAACAAAATCTCAAACTTATGCACAGAAAATCTAACGTCCAACTATTGGAAGAAAAAAAATCTCCACCTTTAACAGATGCTTTTATTGATACCCATTATTTTACTCAAACTTGTGTTGCAAACAAATACCCCATATATAATACCAATTTTGAAATAATAATATTCAAACCATCAGTCATATTCCCCGCTTATACTAGTGTATCGGCGCTTAATAATGCAATTTTAAAAGCTACATTGAGTAACCTTACCATTTAACTGTGTAATTTATACTGATGGGTCTAAGAGCGCGCATGGAACAGGCTTAGCTTTTATTATTCCCAGCATCAATATAGTATATCGTTTTCGTATTCCAGATTTATGCTCAGTTTTTACTGCTGAAGCCATTGCCATAGAGAAGGCACTTACTTGGTGTGTACAAAATCTGAGATCGAGAGCTGTAATAGTTACGGACAGCAAATCGGTCCTAGAGGCAATTATTGCCTCTCCATTTAAAAACTATAAAAATGATTTAATCTTAAAAATAAAAAAATTACTCTTTCAACTGTACTCAACAAATAAAAAAATAACTATAGTTTGGACCAAAGCGCATGTCGGTGTAACTGGAAACGAAAGCTAAAAAAGCTGTAAAAAATGGAAATATCTTAAATTACTCTGTGCCTAGTTTTGACTTATTAGCTTTGTGTAAAAAGGATCTTCGAAAAAGTTGGGAAGAGCACTACAAAAACGCTATCCCGAATTTAAAAAATCATTACTTCCATATACATCAAACATTACCCAATGATATTGCCCACATTTCAAACTTCGACTTTACCAGAGATAGCACATCAATAATTTCTAGATTGAAATTAAATCATGGTCGGTTCCCAGCCCATCTCTATAAAATGTTTTAATTGATAAATTATTTAATTTTATCAATATAAAATACAAATTAGGTATGTATGATCTCAAATTCGAAAAGGTTTCTTAAATGCTGAAATTTGATAAGTACAATTTTGTGGCAAAATTTTTTTTGGTGGAGAATCACTTTTCTAGACAATCAGCTAGTGTCTTCCACCTCACATCATGTGGCAATACAGATGGTTTATATTTTCCAGCTGCAAAGTGTACGTTTCTAAAATATTTAATTATCTTTTTATCTTTCACTGAAGGTACTTGAATATCCTGAGCCAACAAGTTTAAGATATTTGCAAAATATCTGCCAAGCTCACTTCTTCAGATTTTGCTAGTTCAACACGCATCTAAGTCTTGTCCATTACAACCCTGTCCGAAGTGTTGTAACAGCTAGTAGAGTTTTATTGATTCTATTAGTAAGGAGAGTAAATATTCAAATGTTTGTCTTCTGTATCAGTAGTGTCAATCAAATATACTTTTTTTTCCATATCAGTTACAGAAACACACACTACACACTACCGACTCATTTCTTACTATACTCTAATCAGTAGTAATAATATAAGTACTTCAAAATAATCAGGTTATACATCGATAACTTGTTGCATAATTATAAAGAGTGTCAGTTTGACAGTTTAAATAATCCGACCGCGAAGCGGGAGGATTATTCTGTTGATTCCGTAAATAAAACATGCTACTTGGATATCCAATCTATTTTTTTCATTAGTTGTTCTGATAACAAATAAGTCGAGTTTGTGCGTCTTGGTCTTGGTACAGAATCTAATATTCCTGATAACTGCGAAAGTGAAGTACTTTATTTTCGACAACGGCATTAAATATCTAGAATATGGATAAGGTTTCAAATATACTTTGGTCGCCTTGTATCACAAGGTCAACGCTTGCAAAGCTGGAACAAAGCTGATTTAAATGAATCCAGAACCAGATCTCGCTCGAAAGCAAAATTTATAGCGGTACGAAAGAAAGCTGCATTTGTCACTTTTTCGCCGATAAATCATATTTAGTATATCACCGCTCGAGCCCGGGGGATTATCGCCATAGGTTTTATAGGAACGACGCCTCACTAATCGTATTAAAGTTCATGAATCAATCGTGCATGTGCCACTTCCATATTCATACAGTATTTATGGCTCAATTCCGACAATAATAAGGGCTCTTAGCCGTTTTCGTAGAGGTCATAAAACTGCTCGCTATCAGCGATGAGGAGTCGGTATTTATAAGTCTAGTTTCTTTGCGAATGTCTGAGATGGTACCGTTATTTTGCCACGTTCGAAGCAAATAATGTAACCTGCAAGGAATTTTTGGGAGGTCCGTTCATGCCGCTTTAATATTTTACGTTTTACAGCGATGTTTATCGGGGACGCTGCTTGAACTCAGCGCGTTCACGTGCAACCATATTTTTGGCGACTTTTTTTCTAATTTCACATAATTTTATTTAAACATATTTATGATAAGTTTATTTAAAACAAACTTTTTTAAATAATATATAGGTACACATATTATAGGTTATATAAACTATAAACACTAAACAAAAGAAAAATCTTATCAACTTTTTCCAAATTCTTAATTTATTTCTGGTGTCCCTTCAATGCTCACATTTCAATTTTGATACTAAAAATATATTTTTTTATAAATTTCTATATTTTAATGAATCTTTCTTATTCTACACCTAGTCGTCCTTCTTTCGCTATCTAGTTTAAGTTGTTTTCATCCTTCTACGCCCACTTACTCTACTTATTTAGTTAAAATGCCTTTGTTTTTACTTTATTTCCTGTTTATCTCTTAGGGTTAGGTACATCTTGTTAGAGCTTTACTATAACAAAATAAGAAATTTACATTCTTCTTTTTTCTCAAATTTTATTTATTTTTCTTGACTTCGAACATTTTTAACAATAACTTCTATTCAACATCTATTCTCATTCATAAATCAATAATAATAAAAATATTTAAGTATCGAAATTCAAACATTTTTGACTATTAAAAAATTTAAACCGGTTCTGTCCTTTTTAAATTTGCGAAGACTGTCCTGATATCTAATGGATTTTCTTCTTCAAATAAGTTAAAGTTGTTTAACCGTTGTTTGTATGAAGATATCTTACATCTCACTCATACACACAACGTTGAAAAACTGCAGAACAATGATTCAACTAACCAGATATAACCAAGTCCGTGTGAAGAAAACTTTTCATATCCTGAAAACGTCGTGTCTGTTAAAATTTCTACTTTAAAAGATCAAAAGTGCCGTCTCAGAGTGCCACTACTGATTTAATACAATGGGTTGATACTGATACTAAAATAATTCGGGATACGGATCTGTTAAGGCGACGCGTCCAATCGATTATTCACGCGACACGGTCGTTCCGTAATAGTTGATACACAAAAGCATTGCGGTTAATCAAAATACTTCATAGAAATGCAATGTAAGCATTTCTTTAACAAACCGTCAATAAAAAAAGTTAAAAATTAAAGTATGAAAACACAAATGGTTTCTTCGGGAAGAGGATACTAAAGGAGTTTCTTTTGCATTCGATTTTTATACATGACGACCCATTACAATATATATTTAGCTTTTGATATGCTACATATAATTATTTGTCTATTTTTGGCTTCATCCTGTCACTTCTGTTATCTTTATTTTTTTAGTTCTTCTGTACAGCCTCTTTTCCCTTTAATTTTTACCATCTAGTACGCTCCATGCTATTTTGTTTCGCATCTTTTACTCTGCCATCCTTTCTATTAATCACCATAATTTATTTTTACATTCTTTATAAAGTTTCATTTCCTCAAATAATTCTAATTATCTAGATTGCTGTAATACAGAAAAGTAGCCCGTTTCCATTTCATAAAATTTGGTTACGGTGAATTTAAAAGAGGAGATTAAAAAAAACACCCTGTATAGTTAATACATAATTTTTGTGTCACTGTAGCAGAACTTATAGCAAAATAACACATATCAGCAAAAACCGCACGTTTCTACGATTTGTTTAAAAGTAATAATCTCTGAAAATGGGCTACTTTTCATTGGTACACCCTGTATATTGTATATGCATAGACTTCTTTGAAATAAAGCATAACTTTGTCTTCATTCCAGGTGAAATCACCAATAAGGATCCACTAGACAGAGAACACAAACAATTCCACGAACTGGTCGTCGAAGCCAGAGACCAAGGTACCCCGTCCAGAAGCTCCAGAGTGATCGTAACCATAACGGTTCTAGACATCAACGATAACGCTCCAGAAATAGTAGATCCTCAAGAAGACGTGATCAGCGTTCGAGAAGAACAACCCCCAGGCACCGAAGTTGTGAGAGTTCGCGCTATAGATGCTGACAGTGGATCGAACGCAACCATAACCTACTCGATTGTTAAAGATCGTGATTTCGATGGACATAGCGTTTTTGCAATAGATCCGATCACTGGAGTGATCAAAAGCAGATTGATCCTAGATCACGAAGAGAAAACCATATATCGCTTAGCTGTAGCTGCTACCGATGGTGGTCAACCGCCTAAACAAAGCGTTAGAGTTTTAAGAGTCGAAGTTTTAGACCTAAACGACAACAGACCTACTTTTACCAGTTCTAGTCTCGTATTTACTGTAAAAGAAGATGCTGCTATAGGTCACGTGGTAGGTTCGATAGCTCTATCGGAACCAGTACATGAAAATTCTTTAAACGGAGCCGGTGGTTACATAACTTATACCGTAACATCTTTATCAACAGATACGTTAAGCGACGCCTTCGATATAGATAGAGGTACTGGTTCCTTAGTAGTTTCCAGACAGTTAGACAGGGAAATTCAATCCGAGTATAGACTAGAAGTAAGAGCTCTAGATACCAGCGCGATGAACAATCCTCAAAGCAGTGCTATTACAGTAAAAATTGATATAGCTGACGTCAATGATAACGCACCAAAGTGGCCGCAAGATCCCATAACCTTCAAAGTCAGCGAAAATACTGAAATCGGTACGTCAATCTATAATTTTACAGCTTCCGATGTAGATACCGGTAGTAACAGCGATCTAAGGTATAGTTTACTGAAACAATTTCCAGCTCAAAATAATTTCGCAGTAGATTCATTGACAGGGATGCTGACTCTAACATCCAGATTGGATTTTGAAATGACCCAAGAATACACCCTAGTAGTTGCTGCAACTGATCAGTCTCAAAATATTTCCGAAAGGCTCAGTACCTCTGTAACTGTACGAATATTAGTCACAGATTTTAATGATAACGCTCCCAAGTTTGTAGCACCAACATCTACTGTGTACATTAGTGATTCAACTGTACTAGGTATGACGGTGACGCATATTATAGCAGTTGATCAAGATAGCGGTGATAATGGTCGCGTAACTTATATAATATCTGGTGGTAACGAAGATATGTTATTCTCTCTTGGATACGATACTGGCAGTCTTACGTTGACCAAACCTCTACCTAGTAGTCAGAAATGTTTCGTGTTAAATGTAACCGCAAGTGATCACGGTTCACCCTCTAAGACGTCTACAATGGAATTAAAACTTGTTATTCAGAGTTCCATCGATAGTGTTCCAAAATTTTTGGAGGTTCAATATTTGGCTGAAGTACCTGAGGATGTTGCTATTGGTACTGTGGTTATTCGAGTTGCTGCTAGATCTGGATTAACACCTGAAGGTTAGTAGAAAAGCCAGTTTATTGTACTCTTCACATAGTAGTCTGTAAAAAGTATTATTATGTTTACTTTCAAGAAACCACAATTTTTAATATTGATGGTTTAAATATTAAAAAACAGAGGAGCTTCTCAATTCATCTGAATATTTTTTTTTTTATTTATGTTCACCGATAATTATTTACCACGATGTCCGAGTTCTATTTTTTTTTTCTTCGAAAGGGTGTACCTCAGGGGTGGTCCCATATACATTTAGTCAAGATCTGATAATAGATCTATAATAAAATCAGCAAACTCACTATATACTGGCATTTGGAGTCGGCTTTTTAGAATTACTTTTATAACTTGTTAATTCTATATATTTTATTTCAGGAAACAACCTTACTTTCATCCTACCAACAGACGAAACCTTTGAAATAATCTCTCCAACTGGTGAAGTGGTAACAAAGAAACTTCTAGATAGGGAAGAAACTGAGACTTATATCCTTACAGTTTACGTCAGCGATTCCTCACACAAAACAACCTTATTTGATACAACGACACTGGTAGTTAAAATAACTGATATGAACGACAATGTTCCCAAATTCCAATCTGGTTCTTGCTATCGACTGTCGGTGCCAGAAAATTCCGAAACGTCAGTTATTCACACTATGGTTGCTGAAGATGAAGATCAGGGTTCTAACGGAGAAGTAATCTACAGTATTACAGCTGGAAATATTGGAAACAAATTCAGTATAGATTCAAGGACTGGTGAGCTCACATCTCGTCCTTTGGATAGAGAAAGCCAATCGAGATATTTCTTAACAATCATCGCCAAAGACAGAGGAAATCCTTCTTTGCAGAGCTTCTGTAATTTGACGATATCGGTAGAAGATCAGAACGATAACGATCCCAAGTTTGATTTATCCAAATATTCAACGGCGATTTTGGAAAATGTGCCTATCGATACATCAGTGCTTAAAGTACATGCTTCTGATGCGGATCTGGGAATGAATGCGAGAATAATATATTCACTTTCTAACGAGAGCCATTGGTTATTTCGGGTTGATAATAAAACTGGAGTTATTACTACAGCTGGGTAAGTAATAGTTTCTTTGTACTATAATTCTTTAATTTTTCAGTGTCGACTTACAATAGTTAATACGTCATTTAAACTTTACTACTTTTTTTTCACCTTCGACCTTCGTTCTTTTTCTGTCAATTTTCCATTGCAAACAAACACTGCAAACTTCTTTTGATTCTTTTTAATTTAATTTTTTTTTTTTCAGATTATTCGACAGAGAGAAGCAAAGCATCTACAACTTTCTCATCGTAGCAACGGATGGCGGTAAATACAACGCCAGGTCGCAAAGCGTCCCAGTAACGGTCAAAATTATCGACGTCAACGATAACAAACCAATTTTCACGCGTTATCCTTTCAAGCAGAAAGTTGCTCCCTACATCCAACCCGGTCAGATGATCCTGAAAGTTACAGCCGATGATGCGGACGAAGGAACAAACGCAGAAATCGTTTATAGTATATCCAGAGATGATTCTTACGGGAAATTTAGGATAAATCCTAACACCGGTATCATAACGACCACTCAATCTTTAGCTAGTAACAAGGGAAAGATTATTTACTTGAATATGTTGGCTACGGATAAGGGTAATCCACCTAGAAGTTCGTCTGGATTAGTGGAAATAATGGTGGGTGACATGCAAGAGGGTTCGCCCGATTTAAGATTCCAAAACGATTCTTATACAGTAACGGTGACGGAAAATGCTGAGCAATTCAAGGATATCATACAAGTAGCTGCAGTCAGATCCGATGGAAGACGTCAAAAGATTGTTTACTACATCGGTAGCGGTAATGAAGATAATATATTCGTAATCAATTCAGATAGCGGTATAATTCAAGTACGAGATCCGAAAAATCTAGACTACGAGCTTCACAAGAATATCACTTTGGTAGTAGAAGCTAAAACTGAAGGTTATCCAACGTTACATGGTTATTGTAACGTTGTGATACTACTCACCGATCAAAATGATAATTCTCCTAAATTTACACAACACCAATACGCTGCTAGCGTCTGGGAGGGGAACAAGAAAGGTGAATTTATACTACAAGTAGTCGCTTCAGACGCAGATGAAGGTACCAATTCCAGAATCCTGTACCACATCGTCGATGGGAACCATGATAATGCTTTTAAAATAGAACCAGCCTTTAGTGGGATATTAAAAACGAATATAGTACTTGATAGAGAAATTAGAGATTTGTATAGATTAACAGTCATCGCTACTGACGAAGGAGTACCACAAATGACCGGTACTGCTAGAATCAGAATCAACGTAGTCGATATAAATGACAATCAACCGACTTTCCCTCCGCACAGTATTATTACCGTCAAAGAGGATACGCCAGTAGGGACTGTACTGACGATAGTTACAGCTAACGATGTCGATACTTATCCACCACTTACTTACAGCTTCGCTAAAGATAATTACAAGAAAGACCTACAATACTTTAGCATAGACAGGTACAGCGGTAAAGTTGTATTGAAGAAGAATTTGGATTATGAAATGTGGCAGGAGTGTAAGCTTGGGATTATCGCTTCGGATACAGCTCATTCAGCGCAAACGTTATTAACGATCAAAGTTATAGACGTTAACGATAATGCTCCGATATTTCTGCAGTCTTCGTATTTTGCTACTCTACCAGGTGAGCTTCTTTTCAAATAGTTATTGAAATATTTTAGTTAATTTTGAGAGCTGTATTTTATTTTTCCTTTAGACCAGCTTTCGCCGATAATGAGACTTAAAAAGCAATGACGATACAAATTTAAAGATGTCGATGAGTCTAAAGCGAGAGCAACATTTACAGGATCATTATACATTTATCTAAATTTGCTCTTAAAAGTTAACCTCGATTAAATTTTGGTTTTTTTTTACCAAAAATCAAAACTATAGAGTACGAAGGTGTAAATTTAATTTTAATAACGTTTAATTTATCAACATTCTTTGTGGCTTAAGGAGTATTCCTTTAAGCGGAAATCTCGCTTTTTCTCTGTCTGTCATCTTCCAAGTTCCCCTCAGTATTATGATCTCTGTTTTCTCAGGCGCCAATTCTAATTTATGATCTTTCAGTCCATTAAACGACTCATTGCTCTTTGTTCATGGTTTTCCTTTTTTTAGGCCTTCATTATTTAGGATATGTAGAATCTCACTTTTGTCATGGGTGTGGAGTCTTCCTTCGTGTATCCCTGCACATTTCTAAATCTCTTCTTTGACGGTCGAATCTTTAAATATCTGCGAAGATGAGCATTTCTATAATACCATGACGCGTTTATAATGTTTATAGCTGATATATGTTTAAATCACTTTTTTAAGTCAGGGATTTTCATTGTCACTGGTCCTATATGATTGATAGCAGCATTACAGATTTATTTCCTAAGTAATTAAGGATGTCTTATTTTTTTCTAATTCTTGGTGGAAAATAAATTTCAGCTACTGTAGTTTTTCCTTTCTTGTAGTTAATTGTTATTATCATTACATGGTTTTCTTGTAGTTCTATATTAACTTCCTGAAAATAAGAAACGTTTGTTTTTATTATAAGAGCAGTGCTCAGTTTGAAGGATTAATTGTGTGTGGTAGTTCTTATACCCTCTGAACCTAATGTAGGTTTTTCTAATTTTGAGTTTTTGAGATGAGGCATATATCTATCCTATTCATGTCAAAATTTATTTGGAGCTCGACTTGTTTTTGTAGAATTTCATTTTGCTGAATTTGAAAGATTAATTGTGTATGGTAGTTCATATACCATATGAGGTTTTACTTTAGACGAGTTTCTGAGATGAGGCATACATCTATCTTATTGGCGTCAAGAAATATCTAGAGCTCGATTTGTTTTTGTTGGATTTCATTCAAGTAGCTATTTTAATATTTGCTATTTAAATTGTTAGAAGTTATCGGTGTATTTTTGTTTAGTTTCTGTAGCCTTTCCAAAAAGGAATACATCTAGTAATTTGGCCATAGATTTTCTTTGTGTTAAAAACTAGAAATGTATAATTAATGTTTCTGTTTAACTTTCAGACGATAACTCTGCTACGCTAATAGATATTCTGTCGTTAAATGCAACTGATGCTGACTCAGAAGAAAATTCAAAACTCCACTATTCCATAGAAAATTCCATTCCAGGATTCTCAATTGACGTTGATCAAGGGACTCTTAAAGCCAATTTGTCAATCGTTCCACATTACAATGAAGATGTCTTGCTGACTGTCAAAGCTACCGACATGGGAAGTCCAGAATTACATAATGTGGTACCTGTTAGAATAAGAACCAATGGGGGAGTTGCTACCGGTATGAAATCTGTCAGCAAAATGGAGTACAAGTAAGTTTGTCACATATAATAAATATTTAAATGCAATAATTAAACAAAAGGAATCGTGATAGGTCTACTGACCAATTCTTCCTCGGCATAAAAAAACATAAAAACAAAAAAAAACAAAAAACAAACTTTTCTTCGTTTTCCAGAATCAATGTACCAGAGAATACCACCAAGGGCTCAACAATAATGTACTTAGCCAAACCACTATCGGTTCCATCATCATTCTTTAGGATCCTCGATGGCAATGAAGGCGGCACATTCGAAGTTATAAATCCATCAGGGGCACTGGTGTTAATTAAATTCCTAAACCGAGAAACCCAAGAGATTTACAACCTGAAAATATCAGTAGACAGTACATCAATGTCCGTTATGAGTGTTGTCATCGATGTTGATGATTCCAACGATAATCCACCCGTGTTCCAAACTACGGATTACGCAAAAACAATCAGCGAAAATCTTCCAATAGGAACATCAGTAGAAACGATCACAGCTACAGACGCAGATCTACCTGGATCAGTAAATTCTGAGATCGTTTTCGATATTACATCGGGCAACGATGAAGGTTGTTTCAAACTGAACCCAGAAACGGGAGTTTTATCAATAAACAAATCACTCGATTTCGACAAAGGCAGTACCGAATATAATTTCGTTATTAGAGCTTGCGATAAAGGCACGCCGAACTTGTGTACTCTTAATACATTCTTAATTACCCTTCAAGATGAGAACGATAACGAACCAAAGTTCCCAGTATCAGAATATTTCGAATTTGTTGGTGAAAATGAAGCAGTTGGTACTGCTGTATTTACTGCACATGCTACGGATGCCGATAAAGGACAATTTGGTCAATTGAAGTACTCGATAGCACCATCTTACGCCCAACTAGATAATTCTTGGAAGCTGTTCAATATCAATCATTCAACTGGATTGATTACTACGTCGACTGTTTTTGATTATGAACAAAGAAGTCGTTATAACTTTGTAGTACAAGCTGAAGACACTGGGGGCAAATCTACTTCGGTTAAAGTACGAGTAGAAATTGAAGGCAAAGATGAATTCCATCCACAATTTACAGAAAGAACTTACAAACTCACATTAGCAACATCTTCCGCCCTTCCTGTTGGATACGTAGTCGGACATGTTACAGCTACCGATAGGGATAAAGGTCCTGATGGTAGAGTCGTATATCAACTCATCACCCAACATTCCTATTTCAAAGTCAACAGAACTACCGGTGACATTTTAATCAAAAGGAAATTTGATTACACGGAAATTCCAAATTCGGGCAGGGAAATCAGTTTGGTGATTACAGCTAGCTCTGGAAGACAAGGTTCTTTGACCAATATGACTGTAGTGGAGATTATATTGGATCCTTTAGCAGATCCTGGTACTAATTTGGCTATAAATCGAAATAACGAAACAGCAATATCGGCTGCCAATGGAGGAATAGCAGATTGGGCTTTGGGACTGCTAATATCCTTGATTCTATTGATAATTACATTCGGTGCAGTATTCGTTTTTCTACATATGAGGAATAAACGCAATAAAAAAATTAACAAACCTACTCTAGGAGGTGCGGATGGTGTATCGACTTCAAACAATTACGTAGATCCCACTGCTTTTGATACTATACCAATTCGTAGCACAGTGGGATCTATACAAGGCAGTAGTAATCAGTTTGCGCCTCCGAAATACGATGAAATACCTCAATACGGAGCTGCGCATCCAGCTAGTTCAAATTCAGGAGCTGCCACCACCTCTGAACTATCTGGTTCCGAACAATCTGGTTCTAGTGGTAGAGGATCTGCAGAAGATGACGGCGAGGATGAAGAGATAAGAATGATTAATGAAGGTCCGCTCCAAAGGGAATCTGGTGTGCTCAGAAGTAACGAAGGAGATAATTTATCTAACACGTCGGTTAGGAATACTCAAGAGTATTTAGCTAGATTGGGAATTATCAATAATAATATTCCGATTCCGATTCAGAATCAACGCGGAAATAAACCCGTTCCTTTAGATATATTTAACGAAGAAGGAAACGAGAATGATATAACGACTTTAATATATGCTAAATTAAACGACGTGGCCGGTAGTGATAGAGCTAGCTCGACCAACGAAGGTCCTAGCAATAGTAATATGAGTACCGCAATAGATCACATGATAAACGGTTACGGTGACGTACCAGCAGTGACTCATCAACCGTCCATGAACGGTTCTTTAAGTTCCATAGTGCACAGCGAAGAAGAATTAGCCGGTAGTTACAACTGGGACTATTTGCTAGACTGGGGGCCTCAATACCAGCCCTTAGCGCACGTGTTCTCCGAAATAGCAAGACTGAAAGACGATAGCGCGTCGGTTCATAGCGGCGCCAGCGGGACTTCTAGTGTTAAAAGTAAAAATTCGGTCGCTCATAAAACTGTACCGCCTCCTTTAATCACGAGCGTCGCTCCTCGGGCCATAGCGATGCCGGTATTGAACTCCAGAGGAGGTCCTAGTCACCACAATCAGATGATGATGCTGCCGAGGTCGCCTATCAATCACGACGCTTCCGGTGCTACGTTCAGTTCGTCTACGGCCATGTCGCCGAGTTTTTCGCCTAGTTTATCGCCTTTGGCGACGAAATCGCCGTCGGTGTCGCCGTTGGTCGCGCCGGGATTACCGACCTCGCATCACGTGATGGCGCGACAGACTGCGCAAAGAAACAAATCCGTGGTCGATGCGGAATTGAGGATTTGATTGAATTTTGTTTCATGTGTAACGATGCGTTTAGGCTGTGCTGCATAGATATATTCATTGAAAGTGTTTAGGTTTATTTTCGACTTCGATTTGATATACCGTTATTTATGGTCGCCGGTTCCAATTATCGGTTGTGTTAGTGCGTGTAAGTGTTGCAGCGGTAATACTTAAATATGCTGTGACGGAAAATAATGTAGCACAATTGCAATTATAGTGTCGCAATGGCAATAATTTATTGTTTTAATAATATTATTACTACGTTCCTATTTCTACGACTACATTAAGTGGTCAAAATTATTAGTTTTTTTTTTAAAAAGCAATATTGTCGAATTCTTATTTTTCGAATCTCTAAATTTTCGAAAAATCAAATTTGGATATATCGAATCATTTTATTTTGAACAATTTTATTTACGAAAACCAGTTTTCTCAAAAAGGTAATCTTTTGTAAAGTATATTAATTCGATAAGTATTCGAAAATTTGGAGATTCGAAAATTTATATTTCAAAAAATTTTAGATTGGAATAAATAGTTTCAAAAACTTTTCGTAGAATCCGATTTGAAATACCGTTAATTGGTGCGACGTTTGTCATTTTTGGTAGTTTTAATGCTTATAACTATCAAAGCGGTAATACTTTAATACTCTGTGTAGCAAAATACTGTCGCAATAGTCACATAATCAATAGTTTATTGTTTTATTATTATTATGAAGAGCTTTAACTGCTATTTATGCGACACAATTGCCTCAAAAACCCAACCAATTTTTATACAAATAATCGAAGTTTGAAGTACAACTGGAACCTTTATATAGTCTGCCGAGGTAAATTTCAAATACAGTTTTACCATCACTCAAAAATAGGATATAGAATGTGTTCTGTGAACGCAATATAGATTTTTAGAAAACGATAATCGATACCTCATGTAAAAAAGAATATTAAAATAGGAGATTGAAAACCTGTGTTACTAAGGAATATTTTTCGATCAGATTTTTTATTTTCCTGTTTGAAAACCCCGTATTAAAAACGTTTATATATTTTTTTTATAAATTTTTCAAAACCCGTTATGTATAGGGCTCGTAAATGATAAGACCAGAGTATACAGTAGCAAAGCGAAAGAAATTAGTCCGAGCGCGTAAGAATTATCATGACAATTATTTGATTTTTCTTCAATACTGCAGTAAATTAACTAGATAAATAATAAATAATTATATATTATGTAACTACTAAAAATTAATTTGGGTCACAGGCAACTTTTACTGGAATTATTTATTGATAAAGACTGTTTATTTGTCGAGTTTTTGAGTCTTAGCATTTGAATACATGCGTCATGCTTGGCCCTTAATATCTTCCGGTATCCTGTCACCTTTTACTAGGTTGTTTAAGTTTTTTTTGCAAGAATTAACCATTGTTTATATTTCAAAAAAGTTTAGTTTATTATTTATTTTAAAAAGTCTAATAAAGTCTGCAATAACGTCAAAATTAGGGACCAATCAAAGGAAGCTGCTCTACATTCTTTAGGACCAGGATAAAATTTATACAATAAGTTAAATTTGGAAATAAAATCTGGATAGTTCCAGAAAATGTTGCCTGATATTTATTAGTTGCATGATAAATAATTTATTACTTATTTAGATAATTTACTGCGATACCAGAGACAACTTACGAGACGAATAATTATGCTTGAAAATTATTACCATTACCAGTGTTCCTATTCATTCGTATATCGTGCGGTTTTCTTCTATTTTTGCTTATTTGAAAAAAGGCACACGCATAAGCTTATGTCTATTTTGAAAAACATGAATGGACAATCTATATAACTATCTATATCATTGACCTTGTCAAATCACCAGGCCCACAGGGTTGCCATATCATAACCTGTCATTACCCACGAGCAACCATTTTGTTTGGAACGCCTAAATTGTCAAATTTCAAACGCAAATAATTATTTGGTTTATTTTTCGTTAATAATACAATTATTTCGTTACAGTATGTATTTTAGATGGCTTTACATGTTTAAATGCAATAAGTGGGGTGTAAAGTATATAAAAGAACAGGATTCCTTATGTCCAAAATCTTACATCGCGTAAATTTAGATATGGGTAGTATTAAAACCGTAAATGTGCTTAACAGTTACAGATTTACTACTTCGATTTTCGTTTAGGAACGACTCGGCAATATAAAAATGTAATTTACAACTTCGCTTAGTAATTTAAACTTCGTTTATCACAACGCGGTGGAATTAGTCCGTAAGGCACAAAACTATTATAGTGAATTTTATTTGTTACTCTAGTGTTACACTCGACACTGTAATCGAATTGTCATACTTGCCAAAAGTATGTTACACATTAGTGCAGAAAACTTACACCTAGTACAACAAATACAAATCCAGTTTAGGTATTCCAAACAAAATGGTTGCCTGTACAAAAACATGATGGCAACACTGTGGGCCTGGTGTTTTGACAGAGTCAATGATAATTATAGTTATATATATTGATCATTCATGTTTTTAAAAATAAACATAAGTTCATGCCTTGAAGTATTGTCTCTGGCGGTACCAAAGATAACTCAAATCACCCTTACCTGCATATTTACTAATGTCTTTTGCCTTGTCCCTCTTTGCCCTGGTATTATATCGTTTACGGATACTATACGTATATTTTTTTGTAAATACGAAACTTATTAAAATGCTCATTAGGTAGTTTTCTGCCTGCCATTCTTAGCCATAAAATACTAACAGTTTCTTTTTTACTTTTATAAAAACGTTCAGTCATTAAGATTTTTTTTTAATTTTAAATCCCTACCCCAACAATCTAAGTACCATTTTTTTTTGTATATAGTATAAATAGATCGAAATCTTAGTGTCTGAAGAATTAAATTATTCTTTTTGTACAAAACATTGTAAGTAGCTTTTCATATCGTAATAGAATTCGAAAATGAATGAATTGTGAAATATTTGTAATTGTTAACCAAATTTTACGTTCGAATATTTACATTGTAAACGACTGAGAACTTCCGATTCTAAAAATCGAACTGTAAATGATGTAAAATATGAATAAATGATTTATTAATGAAAATGTATTTTTTTTTATGTTATTCAAGTATTCCATAAATTTTCTTTTTAGGAAAAATACCGCTCCGAAACGAGAAATAATAAGGGAAAGTTATTATAGAAGGTAGTATGTGTGAATCACTGGTTGATCAGCAATGGAAGTGGCCTGAAAGGCATATTTAAAGTGCGTAAATTTGGAAAATATCTTAAGGTATTTATGACACTTTATTTTTAAATTATTTATTTAAATAACACCTTGATTGATATTAAGTGACAATTATGTACAAGGTTGATTGTTTAATAATTTATTCTGCATTAAGAAGTAAAGATCATTAATTTATTTACAGTTAAAAACAAACAACTTAAATTTAATTTAAAATACCATATTAAATAACAAGTATAACAGTTAATTGTTAATAACAATTTGGGAAAACATAAATATAAAAATTAATTTAATAAATATAATATTTCGAAATATCAAATATACAGTAATAAAATTTTATTAATTACAATAAACTTTTTTTTGTCGTTTTATTTAAAAAATACAAATACTACTATGAACAATTTTGTACATTATTGCAAATATAAATTGTATGAATGAAAAATCTGAAATTTTAACCAAATACTCTTTTTTAAATAAAAAAAAACATTATAAACTGGTCTCAAGCTTTCCTGTTTGTCTAATTTTTATGTCCAAAAAAACTGTGTCATTCTTCATATAGTTAAATTTCAATAAAGTTGTGTGAGGAATGAAAATATAACAAGAAGATGATTCTTGCGGATCTTCACATTCCTCGTCGCCATGTTGTCGTTTGGCTGTGATGATTTTGGTAAATGGTTTAGGCTGAAATAAGAGCAAATAATTACCTAAATAATAAAAATTAGATTAGATTTAAAACGAGTTAGACCTTTTTAGATATATTATGAGGCTCCGAGCTTGGTTTGTTTTGTTTGTTGTTAGACTTAATAGCTTTCACAGTGGCTTCCGCACTGGATTTTCTTCACCTAGTATTAAAAACCTCAATCTAGCCAGGCCTTCACACTGATACAGGACGTGGATTGATGATTCTTCTTCTTCTTCTCCTTCTTCATAGATCCTGCACAATGTTACTTTTTCTGCTGGATTGATGTTATATGCCTTCCCAGGCAACAATTTTCGGTAAGAAAGCCTACTACTGTTAGCCTATCCTATCGTTTTTGATCCAGTAGGTCTTCCGTGAACTTGGGCGACGGTTCCTAAATGAACTTTAACCCTGGATATCTGTTTTACCATTCCTGAAACTCTTTTTACATCAATTGTTTGATGGATGCCTTGCACTGTGCCTTAGCTACTCCACAGAATGGCTTTATCCGAGCCTTTTAGGGCTAGTTCCTCAGCCTTTTCATTGCCCTGATATTCTTCGTACCCACCCTGAGGAAACTTTGTGTTGACTTCTTAGCCCTGACAGTAGTGATTTGATTTCTGGTGAGAGAATTGCTTTTAGAACTGATTGGCTATCAGAGTAGATGGCAATAGTTTTGCCTGTTATACTATTTTTCTTGCTTATTGTTATATGACTATTACTTTAGCCTGGAACGTTGTTACGATATTTTCGACTTAGGTCCAAAGATTCCAGCACTGGCTGTTTCCTTGTCTCCAAAATTCTCGGACTGTTATTTGAATTTGAAAATCTCTTTGAAATTTGAACGTTACAAAACATTGTAATTATTTACTTACTGTTTCTAAATTGTCAAGGTCTCGTAATGTAACACTTCCTTCTATCTGACAAGGCCATTTTAATAATAAGTCATGTTCACCTTTTAGTACATGCAATGATAAGAGAGCATATCTGTCTTTCCATTTATTTAGACCGTTCAAATATAAAAAAATCTAAAACAACAAATTGATAATTGAAATAAATAAGAATAATCTGAATATACTTACTCTGACCCTATATCCGTACTCGTGAGTATAAAATATAGGACTCTTCAATACGCTACTATTCTGTTTAGCCTCCACCATTTTGGTATCAATATCTGTTATCTTCCACACTAATCTACCCGCAGCAACCCTCATATCACTAGAAGCACTCAACCCTTCCAATATTTCCATATCTAATTTCATTTGACTCACATTCTTCTTCATAACTTCAAAATCCTTTTCTAAACTTTCAACTTTTTTATTAGCAATTGTTGCGATATGGTTAGCGTTATTCAAATCGTAAATGATATTAGTAAATTTGATGCCTTGATCTTGTTGATTAGATCTAACATCTTCTAGGTCAAGTTTTAAAGAAGAAATGCTATCTTTTAAATCTGAAAGTATTGCTAACTGTTGTGTGTTATCTTGGGAGAGTTGTTTTTTAAAATCGTCTATGTTTTCGTTAAAATTCATATCGACTTGTCTGTTATAAGCTTGTTCCCTTAAGAAACTGTCTTTTAATTGATTGATTTGATCCTGGAATTTTTCCATCAACCCGATTCTACTCTGAAGTCCTGCCAAATTGACGTTTACATCTCTTCTGTAATTTTCTACGCTTGATATATTTTGCTTTAACTGGGATAGAAGAACATCGATATTGGATCTCCATTCAAAAGTGATTTGATTTTGGTATTTTAATTTCTCGATGTCTAAATTGAGTTGGAGATGTGCTGTTTTTAGGGATTCGAAAGTTTGCAGTGGTACGTATTGTTGATTTTGGTTTTTGAAAAATTGGAAACGACTATCGAGGTCTTCCACTTTTCTAGAGAGTTTATAGATTGTGTCTTGGATATCGGATTTCGAGGTACCATTCCTACCTGGAAAAGATAATTATAATTATTAATAATTCAAAGAGTAATAAACAAGACTCTGAAGTTAGAAATGATTAAACGGTATCCTCCTACTTGCGTACGTCCCATTTGCGTACACGGTTAATTTTGTCCCATTTGCGTACACCGTGAGGTCATGCCTTGTGGCAGGTAAAAATATTATGATGCATAGTCCTACTTGCGTACACACATAAAATAGGGCCTATTATATTACTGAATAGTTTGAAAATGTTATAATTTTCTTTTTTAATGGCCACAAAATATTGCAAAATAAAAGTTGATTTCGTTGATGCCTATTTACGAACTAAGGACTAACAAAATTAGTATTATTTTCAAGTAGTCCAAAAATGTTATTTACGTTTTAAATAAATGAAAATAATTGTATATACTCTTACGATTACGATTATTTAAATCGTTAATATTAGGTCATTATATAGGGGAATTTAACATTATTCATTATTCGATAATTGATTTTTGAATTTCTTAACACTTCGAGTAAAATCGTTAGTAAGTGTACTGCTGCCATATTATTCAGTTCAGTCGTCTTATAACAGTTTTTATTTCCGAAATGAGTCCGAAATGGATCAACTTTAAATAGTTAATACGACCAATGGGAAGCCTTCAGCAATTTTTAAGGAGCAACAGTATCGACAACATAGAAAAAACAAACAAGAGGTTGTGACATGGTTGTGCGTCAAAGAAAAAAGTGAAAAATGCCGGGGAACATTAAAAACAAATAAATCCCAAGTTCTGTCAGTATCTGACACATACTTTGATTACTATACGGGGCAAGAGAGAGGTCCGACACGCCCAACATAGGTCGCGGCCATTTTGAACCCTATGACACAGTTTATAGCTAAAGAATCAGATCGCTCACTCTGCGTCGGCACTTTTTATCTCAATGTTCCAGTTTATACACTGCGCAACTCAGATAATACAATATATGACAACCGCCTATAATAAAACAGCAGTCTTCTGCGTATCCTGAATTTGTATCCCTGGAGTGGATGTTATTTTGAAACTTTCAACTGGTCCGAGTGAGCTAACTGATTCTTTAGCTTTGTTCCAACATAAACCAAATCAGTTTGCGTACTGTCGGGATTCTGCGCAGTCTAGAATTTACCGTGAAGAAATGAGGCCACTTTTTGATAGTGGAATTGACTTTGTCTGCGATATTCCAATGTTGTCTTCAGTAAAGACCACTTTATATCGACACAGACAAAAGGCAAACGGACTGTCGAAAGAGCCAAAATGTGCATCGGATGTCGAAATACCTGAAAGGCCTTTTCTTTTGAACGATGGATCTTTCTTCCTAGTCGCTGATGATGGTTACGAAGACAGAATTTTAATATTTTCGTCATCGATTGAGAAGGAGATTATATCAAACCAGAATACTTTCTTTATGGACGGCACTTTTAAGTGTTGCAGTAAACAGTTTACTCAACTTTATACAATACATGCGGATATTGGAAGCAATACAGACAAGCGAAACATAATTCCTGAAGTTTATGCACTACTCAAGAATAAAACTCGCTTTACATATGAGAGATTATTTACGATAATAAAAAGATCCACAAACTGGAAACGAACATTAGTAGACTTCGAGGAAGCAGTGATTATAGCTACAATAAGGAATGTGTTTCCTAACGTTGCAATAAATGGCTGTCATTTCCACTACAATCAATATATATATGGCGAAAAGTACAATAGTTGGGCTAGTTGTAGAATACCGGCACGATGATGAACTGCGACTACATATTCGTATGTGTGCTGCTTTGGTGTATATTCCACTTGAAGATTTGGATATCTGTTAGCTAACCATTTAAAGAAATTCACCCGTTAACGAAAAACTTCAAAAGTTCTACGATTATTTCGTGGATCAGTGGCTAGAAAATAGTATCATTACGCCAGATATGTGGAACTGCAGCAACAAGCTCTATCGTACAAATAACGTCGTGGAGGGATGGAACAACAAGTTACATCATCTGGTCAAAAGAAACCATTCGCCTGTCTTACAGTTGATGAAACACTTAAGAGAAGAAGCAGAAAATAGTGATTTTCTTTATAAACGAAAAGAATTGAGTTTGGAGGAAAAAAGAAGAAAAACAAAATACGTCAAATTGGACTTTAGAATTAATAAAATAATAGCGGCATATACAGAAACAAAAGACGTTAAAAAATGCCTAACTTCTCTAGCTTACATCGCTAAGTTAGAGTAACCGACTGTATGGCTCTGCATTTTGTAAATATTCTGTAAATACCATTCGTTTTGTAAATTCTTAAAAAACAAAAAAAAACTCAAAAATATAAAAACTAAAACAACTTTTAAACACGCCAGCAAATCGGTGCCAGTCCTAAGCCTGGAAAAAGTGTGAAAGAAAGTTTTAAAAATAAAATTAAGTATAAGTATATGTACGCAAGTAGGACTATTATCGTAATACTTTTACCTGACTCAAGAGATGATCTAACCCGTGTACGCAAATGTGACAAAATTGACCGTGTACGCAAATGGGACGTACGCAAATAGCACTATATCTGATTAAACATCTTACCAACTGTGCCATATGGATTATTTCTTGGATCAAAAGTTTGTCGTTCTTTTAACATTGTTAAGTTGGGTGAAGATTTAGCTACCCTGTTGACGCAATCTTTGTTGTGTTTATTTAAGTCCCTTCTAGGTATATAGGACCCGCATTTGTTGGGACATGCGACCAGCGTACTGCCGCAAACTGAGCTGTGACCCTGAAGGAAATCAATTAAAACTATATTAATGACTACGAATTACTTTTTTAAACCTCCATCATAAGCATTTCAATGATTCAAGACATTTTTTAGTAGGAAATAAAAATTATAAATCAATAATAGAAGTAAAGGACTCAAAATAAAACTTAAAAATCCTTAAAATATAAAACATTGTTATTTTCTCAAAATTATAATTTTAAACCAAGGCCAAATACTATAGAAGCATGTATCTATCTAATGAATCCTCTAGACTGTAAATAAACAATTACATTTTTTGAAAACACAATAAAAAACTTACCACTTGCGTTTCATTTTCAATGGTCCTATTACAAAAATAGCAGGTGAATTTCGGCACTCCCCTTCTGCTATTTTCCATATTTGTTGAATTTCCGTTATCGCACCATTATCAATTGAGTCAGTAACACACATTGTGTTTGAAAATATTGTCTGGTTCATCATAAATGCAAAGAGATTAGATAAAGCAGCGTCGCGCACACATGGTACTGTTTTTAACAGACTTCAAAAATAGGAGGAGGTTCTCAATTTCGTCGGAATATTTTTTTTATTTATTTATATTTAGCGATAATTATTTACCTCATTGTCAGATTTCTACGATTCTTTTTGTACAATTTGTAATGGTATCTGCATGATTTTGGAAGTCACGATTAAGTCCGCATGGAGGTAGTAAGGAGAGGAGTCACCACTAAAGTGAGTATCACCTGCACCATATTGTTACCATAATTCGTGACATTTACTTATGCTTATAATGATACTAATTAAAAACAAAATATTTTGGGTTAGTGATGGCATTTTGGGAAACTACCGAAGAGCAGTGTTACTTTACAGGTTTTGTAACAAAACGATTATTGTTACTTTTAAATATACGTTAGTCTAGTCCTTTTGTGATATTTCTACATATTAGTTATCGATACGGACTATCAGTTTCCATAAAACAATGTAATTTGACCCTTATTTTCGGTTAAAAAAAATTGTGTAAAGTAACCCGACGAAGATGATACATTACACTTCAAAACGAAACGGTCAAAAACACTTTTAGATTAGGGAGTTTGTAAAGTAAAACCACTTATTGATATACTTTGCCATTTTAAAACTATTTCAAGTTATTTTCCATTTTTTTTCTAAATCAAAATAAAAAAAAATATGGATTATTTCATGAAAATAAAATTTATTGCATTTTTAAAATCAAATCAAATGTGTACATTATTAGAAATATTTAGTGCACCAATATTTTGTAAATATTGGCCCTTTACCTTATTTCGTAAAATATATGTCTGTTCAAAAGCCTTTTTATAGCTCCAGGGCGAGGGGTGAAGGGTCATTGCTAATAACAATTCCTTTTTTTAGCATACCAGCCGTACCTATATCACAATGTTTATACGTACTTGAATTGTGTCCAGTAGATTAATAACATCTCTAACCCCCTAGAAATGTATTTTTAGAATTGATGTTTACTAAGGTGAATGGTCTTTCTTGTATGTATCTTATACTATTTCCTTTGAAAAACTTTTTAAAAAAATAACTTCGTCGTTAGTTAGTAGTGCTTTAACTCCTTTATTATACACTGTAATTGATACACTGCAGTCATTAAACTATCAGGAATTTGTTTTACCCAAAAACAGATAGACTGTACTCACTCGCGTCTGTCTACATTGAACGTTTAAACTGTCTGACTGTTGATAAAATTCACAGTTTATGATATATGTAAAATAAATCAACATAATGTTTTTATAGATCTTGGCGGAGAGACGGTAAACAGTAATCCTCAAACTGCAAAAAAGCCATAAGCATGGATCAGTCAGCTATATGGTCAATTTGATCTCATCTTGTACGAATGGTTCGATGGTGTGATAGCAGTTTATTTCAGAAACTTCTCCACTAATACCGGTCCGAACAGGAAGTGGATAATGGGACGATAACCAATGAAAACTGTGTTTGATGTCAGGTGAGAAGTTATGTCGATGAACAGTATGACCTAATTATATTATTATTATTGTAAAAAATATCTTAAATTCTATAGTAAATAGGGATAAAGAAACAGATAACTTTCTTAGCTTCTAAACACATGTACAGTACAACACTGATAATCCAGAATAATTATGACCAGACCCTGTTCACATTTTCAAAAATAACCAAAAAAGGTCGTTGAATTCATAACAAAAAGAAAACATGTTAAAACTGTTAATTATTCACTTTTGTAGTTAAATAATTGAGCAAATAAATAAACTGTTAATTATTCACTTTTGTAGTTAAATAATTGAGCAAATAAATAATTTCATTAATTAATATGAAGACCCTTCTCAGCCTGTCGCATCAACATATTTGTTTGACAAAAATGCATGTATGTATTCACTTTTTTTTTCATTATAATGAATCTAGATTTTTGATAGTCTGGATTATAGATGCTCTACTTTACTTGTCTTGGGACATTATCCCATTAGTTGTGTGTGTGTTTTCTTCATACACAGTCATTTATGAAACCTCAAACTGTACTTTTTGGTACTCCCAACGTTTATCTATCCGTTTCTGGTATTTTTTCTACAGACCCTTTCTTTGCAATTCGTCAACCATTTCCTTGCCCTTGATCCCTTGATGACCTGGCACCCAAACTAGTTTTATTCTATATTGGTCTGCCAGTGATCTCAATTCTTCGATGTAATTTCATAGCAGCCTCGACTGACTATAATGTAGCCTTACATTATTTGGATGTTTATTTTCGATGTCTTATTATTTACAACATTGCAAGATTACATAAACCTTAGCCTGAAATACTGAAGCGTGTCTTTCTATTACATTGCTAAGCTTGGTGTTAGGCTTTTTGGAGAATACGGAAACTCCAGTGAATCCGGTTCAAATGAATTGATTTTTAGTTTGTCATAATCCACCACTTAATTTGCACTTTAAAATTACTGTATTGTTTCTATTCTACAAAATAAGTAATAACTAATTTTATATCTAATAATAATTATATTTTGGGAGGCACAAAATTCAAAATTTGCATTGGGCGCCCATGACCTCAACTACGATGCTGATGTGGATTTTCAATGAAATTTTTAAATCTGTAATTAGTCTGTCTTTGGGCACAGTACTTGGTAATTGGTAATTAAATTTCACATTTCAAGCCATTTAAAGTTCTTGCAAGCACTAGAAAGAGCTTGGAAGCATTTTAAAGGCTTGCAAGAACAATTAGAGTGATTGCTTGTGAATTATTACTGTTTATTGTATTTAGTTTGTTGTTTTTTATATAAATCCAAATTTCTTATAGTCAGAGATCCTACTACGAAATTTTTTGAATACTATGCTTCAGAGATCACAGGAGATAAAATATAATATTTTTGACGCCGATATTGATAACATAGTCGATACGGTGCAGTTGTAGATCAGGTGTGAAGAAACATGAGGTGTAAGGTAAGGGAAGGGATAAACAGAAAGATTTGACGGCAGTACAAAACAATTTTACCAATGAATATATGTGCAAGCCGTTGTACGCCTATAATAAACAGCATACAAAATGCAAGCCTATGCAAATTTGCAAGCTCTGTTGTCACAGCTAGTACAAAATACTCCAACTTGGTTTTGGAATTTATTGAAAATTATTACATCTAATTTAGTTTAATTTGATATAACTATTGATTCAAAAATATTTGGGTTGAGTTGGAATAAAATGGGTTGAATTATTTTATCACAATATTTGTTTGTAGTTACATCTCCTGTTATCTCTGGTAAACTCTGATTGATTTGTCACTGGTGTAAATGGTTGCCATAGTCATTTTAGTCCTAAATTCTAAAAACCATGCAAAAATAGCAAATATAAGTGCCTAATTGTAGAAATCATTTTAGATTTTTAATTTATAATATCTAAAAAAAATTGAGAGTCCGTTTTAATCGTAGATGTCTCTCTATATTTAATATTGAGACTAAAATAATTTTGTGCATTAGGATTATACCTTTTTATGTCATTACAAATGATTTTAGAGGGAGTTTGATTCCTTCTTACTTTCCTATCAGTCAGAAAAGTAATTGAATCATGATTTTTAATCTAAAAGCCAATATTTTCACCTCTGAGTAAAGTTGATTAAACTATAGGGATATTATTGTTTGTTAATCTGTCAAGTTACATGTAACTTTACTCACAGACGAAAAGATCGGCACTAAAACTGTAAATTATTTCTTTTACCATGTTTTTATTAACACTAAATATTTATGATTTCAGAAGTTGAAGTTTGATCATCCAGCAGTAAAATGATTGAGCCAAGAATGATTTATGCAGCATAACAGCAGCTTGGAGGAAAAACATCTTATTCTAGAAATTACTTCCATTTCGATGGTATTCAATCTGCTTTTCAAATTTATATTGTAATATTGAATTCGAGTCACTGTGTAATTGTTTCGTTTTTTACAGAGTTATCGATATCATCCTAATTTTGTTCTAATCTAATTAAAAGTCGCGCATCCAAGTCGTACTGTCAGAAGCGAAACTCAGCAGCTTTTATTTTTAAAATTGTTAAGTTTTTAAAGGAAATGAGTGCCTTTACAGATAATCTTGAATATTTAAAATACTTGTCCTAGATGTTTATTTCATCCTTTGTATTTTCTGTAACAGTTTCACTGAAATTTAGCTTAGTAGAGCGTTTTTTCGCTTTCACCCAATTCATTGCAGATCGTCTGTTGAAAGACACAACGGATTTTTGTGGTTTTATCATTTAATGATACACGAGTAACAAGATTATTCGGATTATTAAAAGGCTTTTGATGCTTGACTTATATATTATGTAATATTAGTGTTTCTGTTAGAGTAAAAGCACAATAAGAAGAACATTACTGATAACATTTATTTCAAATATATATTATTCCTATTTTGTAAGATGGGCCAACTAACATTTGTTTGTAAATTGGAATATACATTATTGTGTTGTTATAAATCCAAATTGCAAGGCAAATATGACTGGGACCTAACTGAATTATTGTGTTATATTATTATTTCTGTTTGCATGATTGATATTCAAAAAAGGCCCTTCTATCACTTGAATCCTTTTTACATATCTTCTCAGTTTTGTAAGAAGGGGCTAATTAGCAAATAGATATTTTTACAGTACAAGGTAAATAAAAAAATTGGCTAATTGTTATGTTGTGTAAATTTTTATATATTACAAATGATTAACAAACCTTTTTTAAATATAATAAAATATTAACAGCTTAAACTAAGGACATTATTTTGTTTTAAAAACATTTTAATATTTAGAGAAAAATCTCACTTGACTTCTTTTTAAAAATCCCTTTTTTTATTACAAGAAGGGGATAACAAACTACTTAATGGTTAAAAATTGGCATTTTCAAACTTTGATGTGTCAGGGGCAAATTCATGTATTTCTTTATTCAACTAATATTAATAGAAGGAAAA